CCGCAGGGTGCGGGGAGGGGGCGGGGAAGTGGCTGGTGCGGCCGTTATTTTGGGCTGCTTTTCTGTTAACGTACAAAAATTCTCCCTGGTGGGCCCGAGAGGCGTGACGGGAATGGTGTCTGCGTACTGGCCGTATATCGAGTCGTTTTGTTTTTCGGTTTTCACTTTTCTCCCTCTCTCTCCGCCCCTTCCAATTTGATGCCCTTTTAGATGTTATTCTAAATAAGTTTTAAAGAGCTGCTGTAGCCGAGGGGAAGGCTGAGGGAGGACGCTGCACCCAGGAATATTTTACAAAGGAATTCAGTTCCTACTTCCCCCCCCCCCCAACCCCCCCCCCCCACCAAGGTTTGCTGGTGAACTGTCATCTTAGAGGTTGTTTATTACACCTGCTGTCAAATACTGCTGTGTCTTTACCAAAAACACAAACTGCAGCCAGCTTTTCTGTTTTTATAACTTTTACAGTCCTTCATACTTGAGAAAGGCCCCCTTCCACACCATAGACATTAAAGTTGACAGTGTACTTTTTTCCTAGAAAAACACTTTTTTTTCAGAAAGTCTGATAGTAAAAATGTTAAATTCAGGCACAAATTATTCAGTGTGTTTATTTTGTCTAACAGCTGATTAAACTTCAGTGTTCACAGGACCAGCCTTGTCTCTGTTTTCTAGGGCAGGTGCAAACAGGAGAGTGAAACTTCACAAAACCTGTTCCCGGCTATGGTTAAAATGTCAGGCTAGTTGTTAGTTGTCAGAACGCGTTCACTCAACCCAGGTAATACGGTTGTTGCATGTCACCTTGGAGTCGGTCTCAGATATGCACGTGGGCGGATTTGGACAGTTGTCACCTCATGGCAAAGGGACATTACAGAAATGGGAAAATACCACTCATTGAGCAGTGAAGGAGGTGGTGCATGGTGTGGTGGACTTTGCCTTGTCTGGTCCTTTACTGGGAACATGGAAACAAGTTCTTTTGTGAGAGCCTTGCTGCACGTCATGAAACGGGGCCACGCTGCATAGATGCAGGCTGGATAAATGGCAGGGTGCAACTGGAAGGAAGCAACAAAGGCAGGGACAAAGAAGATGGAGAAGAGGAGAGTACTTGAGGAGCAATCAGGAGCGCCATGCCTGCCAGAAACTCTGCGCTCCATCTCTCTCTGGATTCAAAATGAGCTGTACTGCTGCCTCAGCAGTGGTGGTTCCCCAGTGACCTCAGGCTCTCTGCTCTGTTTTGTCCTTTCGTGTTGTCCCTGTCACAGTCACCTCCTGCATTCCCAGCAGCTCCAGAGCAGTGGGAGCAGCCCGCCCAGGATAAGATAGCTGTGTGGAGGGAGAAGGTTCAATGTCTCTGGCTCTGTCCATGATATTTCTTGCTAGGTAAACAGCTGCACCAGCTGCGAGGGAGCCCTTCGCCTGGCATTCTGCTAAAAGTTGTTTTGAGTTTCATGAGTCGTGCCATAATGCAAGGTTCAGGCATGCTCTTCACGCAGCCATGACTATTAAACAGGAAAATCTGCTTAGAAACAATTAGCTTTAATATTTGTGTGTGACCTAGAACCACCATCGTCAAGGTACAAGTACAACCTGCCAACCTCTGCCTCTGAGGTTTGACTGAGCAAATGAAAGTACTGACAAAGGTTCAGCCTCATAAACTTATAAGAGGGCTCTTGGTTGGGATTGATTTCAAGTTGACTGAAATTTAAAAAAAAAAAAAAGCCAAACTAAAAAAACTGCCATTGGAGGGAATAAGAAGTGCCACTTTCTTCTCATAGCTCTCTGAAATAACTGATAGGTGATAAAATTTTCCCCACCTCTCTTTTTTTAACTTTTGTCTCTCTCTTTCTGTAGGCAGTGGACTTCCAATGACCAAATATGAACTTGACCTCAGCCTGGGAAGGACACTGTGCCAGAGAAGTGCAAGAAACTTGTATTCTTAGAAGCTTGAAGAAGGGGGTGTAAGCAGGAGAATTTTGACTTGCAGCATGGTACACCAGTGTCAGAAATGGTGATTGTATGTTCTTTAACAAATTACACTAAAAAAATGGCGAAATAAAATACCAACATTTGTGCACAACTCAAAGTATTAAAGATAATGAAGATAATGTGCTTCTTAATTCAAAATATTTTACTTTGGTTTTTTTTTTTTCTTGGTCAATGTAAAACACAAGCAGTAGAACCCATTTTACTTCAGAGGTAAATCACATTGCTAGCAGTAATGTTAAGGTTTTTCTTGAGAGATTTGAAGCTTGATACAGCTGTAATCCTGTTGACCTGCGGTCAACTTCCCATGGCAGTGAAAAACTATAAAAAGTAAAGGTATTTTTGGTTCAGTTACATACCTCCTGATTTTTTTTTTCTGAAAGCTGAGTGCAGTAATACAGCTGTGAGCCAGTGGGTATTTTTTCATTGTTTTTCTTTCCGTATTTGCCAGTATAAAGATCTGATTTTATAATACCTATAATTTCAGTACATGCATGTATGTGTGTTAACTCCTTCAATACAGATATTTTGAGTAATGGGTCACACTGAGAGGCAGGAGAAATGATAAAATTTGCAAGCCTGACGTACCACCAGGACATTTGCGTTCACAAAAGTGCAGTAGTTTGAAATGCCATTTTGAGAGCGCCACTGGAGGACGTTCAGGTCAAAGCCAGTGGAAAGAACTTCCTAGCTTCTCACAGCTTTATAGTGGACAACCTTACTTCTAAAAGGTATTTCAGAGCCCTTTGTGCTATTGGTCTATGAGTCACAGTTTTCGGGGAGGCTTTACAAGCATCCCAGGTCAGGGCTGGGATAAGGCCTACACGGGGCCCTTATGCAGTCTCGGATCTTGTTCACATGGCTAGTGATTGCTTTAGTCTATTTCCGATGAGAGTACTGGGTGAAATGGGAGCAAGGGACCTTCCAGGGGGTGTTTCTGGATCTTTTCATACTACTTCAAGCTTTTTTTTAACCCACCACCATATTTTCCTGGATTTTTTATTTTCTTTTTGTGTACGTGACTTAAGAGATTGCAGTCTGTTTTTTTCATAGTATGTGTAGACAGTGGGGCCACTGACAGCCCTGGCGTGCTTTGTTTGGACCCGGTAGTGAGATCTACTCACTTCTCCTGTCTCTACAGAGGGTCTTGCATTTCAGTAACTCATCCTTCACATGGCACTGAAGATGCCACAGTCCGAAGTTCACAGTGAAACATCACAGTTCTGATAGACATCACCTGCCTGCTGACATAAACCTAGGGAGATTGCCTCTGATTTAGGATGCCTCAGTAGCACTGTGGCACACAGCTATGCAGGTGTTTAGGTAAGTGTAATGCAGTGCAGCATGAGCTGGTACGCAGGAAACTGCCCCAGACGGGGTGATTGTGAACACAGCTGCACAACCTCAAAGCAGATCTACAAAGTATAATCCAAAAAGGACTGCTTGCTGTGACTGATCATGCCGAACAGCTCAGCTGAACAGATCTGATATGAATGCATGTTACCTTACAGCAACCAGTTCTTGCTAATCTCATGCAAGTTCCATGCCGGCCTAAAAACAGGTTTCATAAAAAGTGTGCTTCTCAGTGATGATAGCTGCCTCTGACAGGCAACACGGGAAGGAGTTTTTATATTCTTATCTGCCATACCCATGGGTTGCAATAGTGGCTTGATTCTGCTGCTAGTGGGCAACCCCATGCCAGAACTGGCAGCCAGGCCACTGCTCATTTTAAGTCTGTCCTTCAAGGTGGTAGAAAAACACGCTTTTTTTTTGCTTTTTTTTTTCATTTTTTTAAGTAATGTATAATTTATATTGCTTCTTCATCATCATTGA